ATTTCTTGTTTGAACTTTTTGAACTTAAAATGAGAAAAACTACAAAAAGATGTTGGTTATGGATTTCTTCATATTTGGAAGGCTCGTACCAGAATTTATCATTTGAATTTTGGGACTTAAGAAATGAAATGAACAGTAGAGATTTCATTGCAATGGGACAATTTTGAGTTTACTTACAGTAATGACCCAGAAACTGTTTTCTGGGACTGGTTTTGTGTTATAAATGGAACTGTTTAAATGGAAAAGTTTGGGTCTTCTAACTAGGTTTGAGATTTTGTTTAAAAAATTATAAAGAAAAGGAGGAGTTATGAGATTGAATTATGTTTGCAGAAACCTATTGATATTAATGCACCCTGGTTTTGTGGAGTTAAGGAAATATTTAAGTTTGATGTGAATACATCGAAGTTTTTCCTATGTTCTGTTAGCAAGAAAATTCAAATGATTGAGTTAAAGTTGTAAGACGGAGAAAATTATTAACTATATATAGCACTATATATGCTAATTCAAATGGTTCTGTTAAGAGTTTGCTTTGAGTTGTAAGATTGAGAGAATTGTGACTATGTATAGCAATATTTGTTAACCTGTTAATGGTAATGATGAAGCTAAGGGATTCTTTAAGTTTGTTGTCGCCTTAGGAGTTTTTGGTTTAGAAAGGGCTTGAGGCAGCTAAGACTGCTGTAGTCACCTTGGACCTAATTCAAAAGAGAAATGCCATCTTTATCATCCTCTACTCCCATATTGGGAGATGTAACAGCTTGGAGATTGCTGTAAGCCATTAATAGTTATTTTTTATATATTAAGAAAGGGGGACCTGTGGAAGCCCGTTCTCGGGTTCCTCGTGGCTTTACCCAGCAGGTCCACATAGAGGATGATTAGGACCACAGGCCTGAGTGCAGGTGTCTGAGATGGTCTGCACTTGGCTGTGCTGGGGGAGGAGGTCTTTTGCTCCACCCCTTGGTGTCTCTATAAAAACCCTGGGGCAGAGACAGTTGGGGCCCGTTGGAAAAGGTTCCAGGCCCTCTTGAGGCTATCCTTTATTTTCTATCTGTTTATCTCCGCGATATTCTCCGCAATAAATCCTTCTATCTAATATTTCCTGCTGCTCGCACTCAAGAAAACTCTGGGGAACTGTGGGGGTGGTTGGGTAAACGCCCCACATGTTGAGGTCTTTGATATCCACTTGGACTTGAGTTTTGTACATGGTGATAGATATGGATCTATTTGCATTCTTCTACATGCCAATATCCAGTTATACTAGCACCATTTGTTGAAGATGCTTTTTTTTTTCCATTGTACAATTTGGTTTCTTTGTCAAAGATCAGTTGTTCATACGTGTGTGGATTCATGTTAGGGTCTTCAATTTGATTCTATTGATTCTTTGCTGTCACGGAACTCAGTCTATAGATCAGGCTTGTCTTGGATTCAGAAATCTGCATGCCTTCTTCCCAAGTGCTGTGATAAAGGTGTGCGCCATGACAGACCTACAGGAATATATATATAAGATATACAGGATGGATAATATATATACATATATATGTATGTATGTATGTATGTATATAACACATTTACTGAAATAAGTGGCCATAAATTTAAAAGAGAGCAGGGAAGGGTATATGGGAAGATTTGGCAGTGGAAAGAGAAAGGAGATATGTTGTAATTATATTATAATCTTAAAAATTTTAAAGTAACAAAAGCAAAACAAAAGTAAAATAAAGGAACAAACAACAACAAATGCAAAGTAAAATTAAAACAAATATAAGGTCATATACCAATCAGGAAATGCAGACTAGGACTCCTTTAAGCTTCCATGCTGCCCTAGCTACAATGAACATCTTCAGGAATAGAAATGATAACTAACGTTGGCAAAGAAGGTCATATGCTTCTGTGGGAGTGAGAACTAGAGAATCAACTTTTGAAATCAGTGTATATGTTCCTAAATAAATGAATAATTAAAATGAAAGAAAAAAAACCACATAACTCCTGTGTGACACAATTACAGAACTAATCCATGGCACTATTTTTGTGGAAACAATGACAAACATCTACTTACCACAGATAAGGAAGCTATGACAAATCAACATTAGAAAACCAATGAAGTCTAATTTGATGAACCAGTGAGGATTTTTTCTTAAAGTATGTTTTGTTTGCATGTACGTATGCATGCAATCTATGTTCCATTAGATGCCCAACAGTGAGGTTACATATTGAGTGCCCATGTAAGGGTGATGGGAATTCAACATGAGTCTCCTGAAAAAGCAGACAGTGCTCTTAACCACTGAGTCATCTCTAACGGTAAGTGGACCAGTGCATTTTACTGGGGTGACTTACATGACTGTGGGGGAAGGGTTACTCATAGAAGCACAAAGGACTCAAGACAGGTGCATTATCCTGTGAGGGTGATGGCTAATGAATCTGGAAACCTGGGAATCACTGCACAGCTTGCAGGTAGTTCAAGGGAGGTTGGAAGCATCTTTCAAGCCATTCACTACCTCTTCCAGGCAGCTTGTCCTGTCTTGTCTGGTCAACTTGACCTCTGTCTGCTCCACGGCTGGTCTGAGCATCTTCTGTGCAGCTCAGCTGTCTGACAGTGTCAGCAGTCCTTACCGATTATATGTGCTTGAGGCAGGAGGGCGCTAGTGAGACTTGCCAGTTTATGTGACTGACCAAAGCTACAAAGTTTTCTACTTCTGAGCTTAAGAGCTTCTCTGCAGGACTGAATGCATTACTTCCCCTTAGAGCAGTGTCTCTCAACCACTGTGTCACAATCCTTTTAGGGTCTCATATTAAGCATCTTGCATGTGAGGTATTTACATTACAATTCACAATAGTAGCAAAATTACCACTAGGAAATAACAACAAAATAATTTTATAGATGGGCTCACCACAATATGAGGAACTGTATTAAACAGTTGCAGCATCGGGAAGATGAGAACCACTGCCTGAGAGCATGCTGTTCCTTTACCTTTCTTTTCACGCCCTGTGTTTTGAGGAAATTCTTCCAAGATGGAAGGATTTACTCTCAGAGGAAACTGATACACAATAACTGTTCCTTGGCATGAACTCCAAAGACTTGCCATTTTACCAATGAGCACTTGCCCATCAAGTTCATTGATGCTTTATTCACTGTATCTAGGAAACGGAATCAACAAAGATTGAAACATGGGTAAATGAAAAACATATTTTTTCTATACATATTATTCAAGTGTAAATAAAAAATAAATCATGACCTCTAGATGTACATGTAGATTACTGGAAATTATGATGAGGTGAGGCACCTAGGCCCCAAAAGGCAAACATCCCATGTTCTCTCATATCTGTGTCTAAGCTACAAACTTGGTTTTGTGTGTTCAAGTAAGACGACATGTAGAAGCCAGGGATCTAGAAATAGACCATTAGTGGGGAGATGGAGGAAGAGAGGATAGATAGTAGAATACAGGTGATATGAAATTAGAGGGTGGGAATCCTGGGGGCAGGATGGTTCAAATATGTAGTGGAGAGGGGGCTGCTGAAAGATCAACTCAAATGAGATGTCTGTGAAGAAGGTATATGAGAATCTATCATTTTGCAACCCAAGTAAAAAATATAATAAGAGAGGACAGTAGAACACATGTTATAAGAGAATGGGGCATTGGATGATGTGTGCTAAATGTTTAGCTGGGGATGGGGCAGGGAGAAGGGGTGAAGAGTGTGTGGGTCAACCAAAAGTAATGATCTGTGAAGAAGCCTTATGAAATCCCATCTTACAAATTAATAGTAAATATGATTTTAAAAACTTTGAAAAGAGGTGTCCCACTTAGATAATTAATGTTGCTCCCAGACACCAGGGCTATATAATGATACTCTTTACTGGTTGTCAGCCTAGGACTTACTGGTAAGGATGAACCATTGTCACCCTAAATAAAACAGGTGATTACCAGTGCTCTTGCTGGGCCATCGTAAGTACATGGTGTAGCTGAAGATACCACTTTGGTTGCAAGATATAGAGAAATCAATGTACAATGTACCAGGCAACTCTCCCTGATGATCAGATTTTGTAGCACTGTAAGGTCCTGTGCAGGCTGTCTGTAGAGAAATGACGTCAATGGTCTTACTTACCCCTGGGCCATGCATCTTACAATACCACCCTGCTAGTTAAGACGTGTGTACTGGTGCAAAACTGGCACCAAGGTTTATGGATATGAACACTCTCTTGATTGGATTTTAAGCCTGCATCAGAGAGGAATTGATTCCATGGTAAAAACAACAACAATAAAATACAACAACAACAAAAAACATGACTTATGAACTAAAGGGCAGAACCTCTTGATGCTTTGATAATGATCATGAACATTATCTGCCATCTAACTATTCATGTTTAAAATGATCACTTTGTACTACTCTCCACATTGGTAAAAGAAGTCTCCTCTTATAGTAGATACTTGATAATGCATAGACTCATAACTGTTCAAAAACTACTAAGAACAAGCAACTCAGTAAGATTGGGGCAATTACCATTTCATCATGGTGGAGGGTGGGTCCTACGTGTCTCCTTTACCTCAGTGAAGGTATAATGGCAGTTAATGGAAGCTATATCATTTTATTACAGTTTCAAGTAAATTCTTCCCTATTTTTCTTAAGGACTTCAAAATGAATTTCTGCATGTTGTCAGGGATTTTTATTTTTGTTATTGTTTTGGATTTTCCAGATAGGGTTTCCCTGTGTAGCCATGGCTGATTTGGAATTTGCAAAGTAGATAATGCTGGCCTAGAACTCACAAGGATACACCTTCCTCTGCCTCCAGAAGCTGGGATTTAAGGTGTATGTCATCACATCCTTAGACTTTGGGGATTTCTAAGTTGGATGTCAGCATTGCTGTGATGTCACAGTCACAGCCTATCTCTTCACAGTCAGTTACTTTCTTGCTACTTGTATGGTTTGACTCTAACATGAAGACTTTGAAGGTAAATAAAAGATTTTTATCAGTGTTTCCTTTAATGAGGAATTTTCTTTTATTTCTGCAATTTCAGCACTATATAAAGGGTTTGTCTAATTTAATGCATTTGGGGAGGTGTAATTTCCAATGGACAGAAAGAGTATATACTCTCTACCTTTACATGGATTCTCAGAAGTATGAATTTTGTGATGTACAGCACAATTAGAGAGAAAACTAAAGGTTTTGTCATATTTTTTTATCTGACTCTATTAGAATTTTTTTTTTTGACAAACAGTTTATGTAGTCCTAGCTGTACCGGAACTCTTGTTGTAACATACTCTTGTTGAAACTCAAGTTGTAAACATACTTGTAGATGATGTCCTCCAACTCACAGAGATCTTTCTGCCTCAGCTCCTGAGTGCTGGAAATAAAGGAGTGCACCACTATATCTAGCATTATAAATTTTTGGATGGTGAACAAGATAAATTGTGTTTATTACATTTTTTTTTTTTTAACCAGGGGTTGGAGACTTTACTTAGTGAGTAAGAACACTGGTTGCTCTTTGAGAGGACCTAGGTTCAGTTCCCAACACATGAATGATAGTTCACAATGGTCTTTAACTCCAGCTTCAGGGGATCTGATGGCCCCTTCTGTCCCCTGTGTGCACCAATCATACATGTAGTACACAGACACACTTGCAGGCAAAGCATGCATACACATTAAAAGAAATACAAAGTTTCCCACTGTTACATTTGCAACATTTTAATATAAATTCTAGGATATTTTTTAAAATTTAAATCTTCATTACGGACTCTCACAAGTTTGTGATCTTTATGTTTCAATTTTCTATACTGTTGATTTGTAAGCAAAGAATACTGCAAAATGATATGTCACATTATTTACAATGGTATGTTTCTCTCCAGTATGAATTTTCTAATGTCTTCCGGATAAAGGATGTGTCAGTCTTCGCATTTGTATGGTTTCTCTCCGTTATGAATTTTCTGATGTGCTCTGAGGTAGGAGCACCTAGTAAAGGATTTGTCACATTCCTTACAATTGTAAGGTCTCTCTCCAGTATGAACCCTCAGGTGTCTTCTAAGATTTGACTCCTGCGTAAAGGACTTGTCACATTCCATACAATTGTAAGGTTTCTCCCCAGTATGAACTATCTGATGTCTTTTAAGAACTGTGACACTGGTAAAGGATTTGTCACATTCCTCACATCTGTAAGGTCTCTCTCCAGAATGAACTCCCTGATGTTTTGTAAGACTTGTAAGATTGATAAAGGAAATGTCACAGTCTTTGCATTTGTGAGGTTTCTCTACAGTATGAATTTTCTGATGTGCTCTAAGAGATGAGTATCTAGTATAAGACTTGTCACATTCCGTACATTTGTAAGGCTTCTCCCCAGTGTGAACACTCTGGTGTTTTTTAAGGGTTGAGTGGTGGGTAAAGGATTTGTTACATTCCTTACATTTGAAAGGCTTTTCACCAGTATGGATTCTGTAATGAGTTTTAAGATGTGATAATTCAAGAAAGGACTTACCACATTCTTTACATTTGTCTAATTGCTCTGGATAATGAGTTTTCCTATGCCTACTCAATGATGAATAGTGGGGAAAGGATCTGCCACACTCATTGCATTTGAAAGGCTTTTCTCCAGTATGGACTCTGGAATGATCTTGGAAGTGTGAAGAACTATGAGAGACTTTGCCACATTCTTGACAAATATAATGTCTCCCAACAATTTGCATTTTCTGATGTTTCTTGAGAGTAGAAGACTGAGCAAGGGATTTGTCACATTTCTTATATTTGTAAGGTTTCTCTCCATTATGCAATTTCAGATGGCTATGAAATGCTGACAACTGAGGAAATGACTTTCCACATTCTTTGCATTTGTAAGGTTTCTCCCCAGTATGAAGTCTTTGATGTATATTAAGACTTGAAAGCTGGGTAAAGGATGTTTCAAAAACATTGCACTTGTAGGGTTTAATTCCAGTATGAATTCTCTCATGTTCAGTGAGGTTTGAGGCAGTCCTGAAGCATTTCCTGCATTTCCCACATTGGTGTAGTGTCGCTCGAATTGCTTGTTGCAAAAGACCGTATGCAGAGACAAAATAGTCATCATATTCTACCTGCCTGTGCTCCTTCTTTGCAGTGTAGAATCTTTGATCTTGAGTAACGTTGGAACACAAATTTAAAGATTTCTCATGGTCTTCAGATTTGCAAGGTTCTTCTTCAGTGTGCATGTTTTCATGTCTATCTAGGTTTGATGAGTCAGTAGAGGCATCCCTGTTGTTACTACATGTGTAGTTATTAGAGTTTGCTGTAGTTTCACATGTTTTATAAAGTATACATGTAGAGAGGTCATGAAGCACCTTGACAAGCTCATTACACTGACAAGACTCCTTCTCCGTCTTCACATGTTGATGGTCAGGATCACATTTGCAATAGTTCTCTGAAAATGAGTACAATTCACAATAATAGGGCTTGTTTCAATGATAAAACATGTGATAAATGACTGTCTCCCTAAGTTCTCATTTAACATAAGTGAGCCTGGAACTACTTAGATTAGAGCTCCCAGTAATGGACATTTTTCATTCACTGTAATTATATGGATACTCACAAAAACAGCATGAAAGCCTTCAAAGGTCATTGATCTATAACAGATATCTCATCTTTATCAAAAATCTCTAACTCGAAAAAAGATGGAAATATAGTCAACAATTGTCAATTAGCTTTGTGATAGAGCTCACTGAGTGATTATATTTAGAATACATGTCTCTATTTTTAATATGTCTTCTCAGAAATTGATGAAGAGGAATTTAATCCAATCCTAGGTTCACAGTATTTACACTTACTAAGTGATAGGCAATGACAAGGAATATTCAGAAGACCCAATTCCTTTAAGATTAAAGTCTTATTTAAAAAACCACAGGGTTTATTTTTCTCTCTAGAAAACACATTAGATTCTTCAAAAGTAATGGATGCAAAGACAGAATTCTGCCAGACACCAGAGGCTCTAGATTGTTTGAGGCAGGGCTGTCATGGGCAGCTATTGCCTATTTCTATCCTCCACTGTCTGAGCTCCACACACTGCTGTGTTTCTTAGCTTTCCTCACAGGGTTATTCTCGAGTCCACTCTATACACAGACTCCTAAGATTATTCCCCAGAAGGGTGTCTGTGTATTCTCCACTGGGAAGAAAATGAAGGATGTAATATGAAGATATGCATACAAGGATGGCAATTACAGAATAGTCCTGCTATTCTGGGCTCATGTTAGGCTTAAAATTTTGTAAAATTATTCCAATCTGATTTCATTATAGTGAAATAAAATTGCATTTTGTACTAGTATTAAGTCACCATCATTCAAATGTAATAAGACACAAGCCTTCTAACAGTTATTACAACAGACGGATACATCCTGGTCCAGGATACTACACTAAGTTAAACCATCACAAATCCTTTCAAGTGGAATTGAATATGGGTAAAACATTTTCAGTTCTTGCTTTTTCCTTCACTTGAAGTCTTTACTATTCTCTTGTTCATCCACTAGCTGACCCTAGTAGTGACTACTCCCACATTCAAGAGCAATCTCATTCTTTCTGTACAGGCAATCATACCTACTTTGCATATATAATCCGCATGTTCTTGAGGCAGCCCATGACCCATGCTAGAACTTTTAGAAAGATTACACAAGTGTAAGACAGTACTGCACTCGGTACAAGAAAACAGAAAGCAGAGGAATTTAGGCAAGATTTCTTGATTGATATCTGTAGTCAAATACTTCAGTATATTTAGCATTTTCAGTTTGTATATTTTGAATTTGTCTCACAAATAAGACCATATCATTGCAATAATAGACATGGAGATTTAAGATATGAGAGGAAATATTATGTGCTACTGAGTTTATGGATGAATCTTGGAACCAAAATGAAGATGACACCTCAAACTAAATAGCATGAAAAAGTTCTTTCCTACTACTAAACTTTGCCTTGTCTCCTGTCGGTTTTTTCAGGACAGCTTAATGGATTTTACATCCTGTGAAAGCAGAACAAACAAAAGATGGGTTAGGAATTCTACAAGCAAAATGTTCTCACCCACAAAGACCAGGTTGTTGTAATTCTCCAACATCACATCAATGTACAAAGCCCTCTGAGCACAGTCTAGGGATTCCCACTCCTCCTGGGGGAAGTGCACAGCTACATCCCTGAATGTCAACAGACCCTGAAACAAAAATTGTGGTTTCAGCATGTGCTACTTGCAATTACTTTCCTGGATATAAGGGAATGAAATGTAGATGAGCAAAGATAATTACTCAAAAAGATGATTTCCAATATAGTCACATTCTATCATGAATGTTCTAACTCTGTCAAAACAAGATGAGACAATAGTCTTACAAGCAGTATACATGAAACAAGAAATACATATAAGGTCTGGACATGGTTATCTATCTGTTGTGGATTCTGTATTTATGTTACACAAGATCACAGCAGACATGTCTCAGAAGGAAAATTCATGATGAGGAATGTGCTTTAAATGTTATAGATCATGCTAAAATACTGATGCAAATAAATCATGTGTGAAATGGGGCCTTACATGACTCTATTCTAACAGGCTCAGTTGGGATGTTTAAATTCTAAGTACAATGACATAAATTAAACTGTGAAGTTGGAGGTATAGAAGACAGAATATATGGTTGATTTTGTAGACAAAGAGTTTTGTTTATTTTCACAGTGGCAAGGATTGTAACAGCACTACATATTATCATTTGAACATTAACATCTAAGATAAGTAGTCTATTGAATTAATTTCATGAAACCCAAATAAATTCCTTTTATCATTAAGCATGCTCTATGGATTTGCTAGCAATATAATCCCATTTACGTATGACCTAGTACTTTCACTTCTGGCCATATACTCAGAGAACAACACACTTCACTACAGAGATATTTATACCACATGATTAATGCTGTTTTAATCACCAAAGGAAAAGTACTGGAATCAAACTAATTATCTATCAACAGATGAATGGATAATGAAAATTGTATAAAATTGAGGACAATTCAGCAATAGAAAAAATAAAATAAAAATTTGCAGGAAAATGGAGAGACACAAAATGTGTAATATTAAGTACGGTCATAAAATTTTAGAAAGAAGACACCACGTTTTCACTCATATGCAGAATCTACCCAATAATATATGTATATAAAAACAATGTACATGGGGGCACAGAATAACATGAACAAATGAGAACAGGAAAGATTAAATTATAAGGGACTGAATGCAGGTAATGAATACCCATTATGAAAAAGGATATAAAGCAAAGTGCTTTTCTAGTTCTAATTCTGTCAAAGGTTTTTAGGGCTTTGGTGGTAGATAAGAAAATCAAAATAGATTCAATTGTGAAAATATAAAATCCCTTGTGAGGTTCCAGAGTTTCTGTCCTCTGTGATAACTCTAACTGTATAGAAGGACATTGAGTTGTATAGTCTTTGGGTCTGCTTAATTTCAGTGTGTGATTTTGTCGTTTTTCTGTTTGCAGAATTGCTCATAATAAAATTTCAAAAAATTATCAGAATCAGAAAATTAAAGGCTTTTAATACATGAAAGTATAACAGATTTAGATAAAGAGTGGAAAGGACCACTGACCTGCGACATGTTTCCTGGGGAATCAGCCACTTCTTACTGTTTCTCTTCTTTGAGTTTCTCTTTCAGGAACAATGAATAGTGGTCACTTTCCTTTTAAACCAAGAGGTCAAAATGGAAGGGTTAAAATTAATACTGAAAGCTGTTAAGAGAATATTATCAAACTATCTGAAAGACCCAAGCAACAGAATTCTACCAGGTGTCTAGTCAATGATCCCAAAGACAGGAGAGCATGGAAAGATATTTGGAGCTTGAAGTGAAAGTCATCTTCAAGTACTTTGTAGCACAAAGAAAACTACTCTTTTAAAATTGATGGAGACACAAGTGCATTTCAAGATAGTCACCAATGAACACAATTGATTTCACTAAAGCAGCACTCAGGTAATAAATTAGGGGCAAAACATATACAGGAGAGTCAGAGAATCATCCATGAGAACATGGGAAATAATAAATTTCATGTGAAGAAGAGAGAAATACAGGAGAACGGGAGTAATCATCCATGAGCAAGACAGCAAACCATTTTTTCAAAAAGGAGGATGAAGAATACTACCAATAATCCAACCAGCAACGACATAAAAACAAAACCATAGGAAATAAGAATGCCATAAAAAAACCTAGCTATATTGAAAATAAAAATAGAGAATCCTCAAGTAAATAAACAAACCCTGAAGTTAAATTCAGCACAAAGGAAATCCAGCTGTTCCATTCCTTGGTATATGCCCAAAGGACTCGATATCCTACTCCACAGACACTTGCTCAGCCATGTTCATTGCTGCTCTAGTCACAACATCTACAAAATGGAAACAACCTAAATGTCCTTCAACTGACAATTGGATAATGAAAGTGTGGTACATATACACTATGGAATACTATTCATGTAATGAAAATTGAAGTAATGAGCTTTGCAGGTAAATGGATGGACCTAGGAAAGATCATATTGAGTGAGGTAACCTGGACGCAGAAAGATAGACATTGCATGTTCTCTCTCATAGGAAGTTTCTAGCTCCAAATCTTCAGATATAAGCATACAAGCTGGAGTAACCAGAAAAGTAAAAAGTTATGACTGTGGGGTGTGGGGGAGTAACAGAGATGGAGTAACAGGGAACAAGTGTCTGAAGGGGGAAATGAGACAACAGAGGTGAGGATTTAACTATGGGAAAGGGACAGATATGAATAAAGAAGAATGGTAAAATAACAGGAAGGATGTCTGGAAAATATAAGGAATTCATCTATTCCTTGACTATTATCCATCCATCAAAAAATTCCTACAATACATCTAAATCTCTGTATGCATATGCATTTAGAGTGTAAATGAAAATTTCCCAACTGATGATGGGCTGATGATGCTCCTCACAAGAGCCATAGATTTTCTAACAAAACCACCAACACCTGCTTTGAAGTTGTTGGTCACAGTTGTCCAAGAGACTTCCCAACATTGCAGGGTACTGCTGTTGCCCATGGTTGCCTCCCAGAGGCAGAAATTGAGTTCCTAGTGTTTAAGAAGCCACACACTTCAGACACAAATCCTAGAGGACTGGAGATGGAACTGATCTTAAAGCCTCCTCCCTGGGGATTAGCTTTCATGGTATTAGAAGGTGACATGCAATCTTCCAAAGGAGAGAGCCAAACAACTGTCCTGCTCAGTTATGACACCTATGAACCACAACAATGATCTGCACTGCATGACAGCCCAAAACATCCAAGAGTGGTACACATAATTAGGTGTTAACCAACGGCTTCTAATTGGATTAAGACCCTCTCAACAAGAGGGAAATCATCCCTGGTATTGGAAACCTAGCCTGTTTTCTCCAGGACGGATCTTGGAAGAGAACCTACAACCAGACTTTACTAAATCAGCATAACTCCTAGGGCATTCTAAATATTTCTCCTAATTTCTAACTGTCAGTAGGAGACAGTATAGATGGAGTGTAGCAAGCTGTAAATATACTTTCTGATTCTTATCAAAAATCCGCTGGCATTATTTTCAGGAACGAAGACAAAAACACTAAAAGGTAGAGAATGTGCTAGAATACCTAAGCTCCAAAATTCTGAAAACAATAAATAAACCTAGAGGTATTAATTTTCATCATTTTTATAATATAGTAAAATCAAAGATATGAAAATGACTCAATAATGGTATAAAAACATGATTTGTGATGTGAATGAATAAGGACAGCATCACTCACATGCATAGTCAAATAAAATTTTATTTGACTCCATTATCAATTCTTCTGTAGAAAGTCTTCTCAAGCCTACATTAGGATAATCCTGAGGAGATTTTTCTCAGTGGGAGTTTCCAGAATTATTTCTTGTGATACAGAATGTGGCAAAACTGATTTCATGTCCCACTTTCACATTCACTTGATCGCCTTTCCACATTTTCACCAATGTCTCCACCATACCTGGACCCTTAGCTACTGTCTCCTCTCTCCTTCCAGGCCACTTTGTTCTGCTCCACAGGTGAGCAGGTCATGTGATCAGTTAGCCCTGCACATGGGAAAGAGATTGTTCGGGAAGCACCTGGATTTCTACCTCAGTACTGTGCTCAGGAGATGAAGAGAAAACTAAATACAGGATTATAAAATGATTCCCCAACTGTCCTGCAGGGTCAGAATACTGAAAACAATTAGAAAAACATTTTTATTTATTGTAACTTGAATCCCACTTCCAATCACAGCTCAGTCAAAACTCAGGGGCAGAACTGGTAGTGAATGATTGGGAAGAGAATATTATACAGAAGTGAGGTGCTGAATTGATCATGGAGCAATAATGATGAAGCCTTACACCTCCCAAAGGGGCACACACGAAGAAGACGGATTTCATGAAAGCTTTCTTTTTTCCTTTTAGGAATTCACTTTATTTAGTAGGATTTTAGACTCACTCACACAAAGCTCACACACTTGCAGATTAGTTTGTCAAGAAATACTGAGGAGCAAGGGAGACTGCAAGCAAACTATTCTCAGCCACAGAAACCTCTCTCTCTCTCTCTCTCTCTCTCTCTCTCTCTCTCTCTCTCTCTCTCTCTCTCTCTCGACAAGGTTTCTGTGTGTAATTTCCTGAAACTAGGTCTGTAGAACAGGCTAGCCTTGAACGCACAGAGGCCCACTTGTCTCTGCCTCCTGAGTGCTGGACTAAAGGCCTGCACCACCACCACCAAAGTATACTGCTGTAATTCTGTAAAGTCAGGGTGTACAGTGTAGCAGGGGTTGGTTGAAGAAAGAGAGCACTCCAAGATGAAGTTTTAAGGCCTATGTGGCAGCAGGAAGGTCCAGCCTCTCTGATGAACTGAATCCAAAACACCCATATAAAGGTGTATTTATTGAAAGTTATACAAAGTATTTCTTCATACCAAGTTTCCTAATCTAATTTACATGTCTTACTAGAGGAAAGCATCACATGCCCCCATGACTTTAGTCCTTCATTATGTATCCTTTGCAATAGGTGTGCCTGAGGCATCTTGTGACAAGTCTTGGGATGGCTACAATGCCCCTTCACCAAAATGATTCTACAGATCACGGGATACATTCACTGTTTTCCACAAGGATTCTTCAAGGTCAAATACTTCCAAAAAAGCGGTTGTTCAATCTGATGTTTATCCCAGAAACAGTGACTCTGCTAAATTACTACAACATAGTCCCAGCACAAATGCCTCAGGGCAGGGTCCAGGCAATGCCACTCCACTTGGGAGTAGTCAAAAGCCACACCACTGGCTGTCAACAGACCACAAAGTGAAAAACAACAGTTTGACTTGCCCTGTTGGTGCACACATTTAATCTGAGCACTTGGAAGAAACAGGTGAGTGGAACTCTATGTTTTCCAGTCTAGCCTGGTCTACATGGTGAGTTCTGGGCCAGACAGAGCAACACTGTGAATTCAGGCCTCAAACACAGCAAAACCAGAACCAAAAAAATAACAGTTTGGTCATGTGTCCATGGACAGAATGCTTTCTTGGACCAAGGAGACAAAAGACTATTGGAGACATTTTTCTGATATAGGTGAGTGTAAGACGAATTGCTAAACGGTCTTATTAATAAAAACTCGCAGCCAGATATTGGCGTAAATTTTGAAAGACCAGAGGAATAGGACAAACCAAAGCCAACCTCACCTTACCGACCCTAAGCTTCCAAAGAGACCTACTTCCTGTATACCCATGCCTATATTCCTTTCTGTTCCTCTCTGCCTAGCTACATCACTTCCTCTTCCTGCCCAGATCTGTTACTTCCTGTCTGTCTGTACATACCTCCAGACCTTTATGGTTAACTAATGTTGGAATTTAAGGCATGTGCCACCACACCTGGCTCTGTTCCCAGTGTGGCTTTAAACTCACAGAGATGCAGACAGATCCCTGCCTCCCAAGTGATAGGATTAAAGGCATGTGCTATCATTGCCTGACTTCTGTGTCTAATATAGGGGCTGGCTTTTTCCTCTGATCCTCAGATAAACTTTATTGGGGGACACAGATAAAATATCACTAGAGGTGATTTATTATATTTATTCAAAAGATGCTTTTTAATATCATTCTATACCATAATGCATTTAAATTTATTTTTTCGTTTCCTATTTTCCCCTGAAACAGTGTTTTTCTGTGCAGTGCTGGCTGTTCTTGAAGTCACTATGTACACTTTACCAGCCTCCAACTGATTGTGATCCACCTGCCTCTGCCTTCTGAGTGTTGGGATTGAAGGCCTGTGCCACCAGGCCTGGCAAAGACACTTTTCAGAATGCTGCATTTACATCCCAGTGTGCATATGTCTCAGAGGGAAAATTAATGGTGGATAAAAATTTACTTTTAAAAGTTAATGTTTTCCAGGCAGTGGTGGTGCATGATTTTAATCCCAACACTCGGGAGAGACAGCCAGGCGAATCTCTTTGAGTTCAAGGCCAGCCTGGTCTACAAAGTGAGTTCCAGGATAGGCTCCAAAAGCCACACAGGGAAACCCAGTCTCGAAAAAAAAAAAAAAAGTTAATGTTTACAAATACGCTGTGGAAGGCGCA